TCTTTCTTATATATGACACAAAAGGAGATGTTTAGCAGAATGTTCATGTTGCTCTTTTCCATACAATGAATGGCGATCATATGTCAAGTTCCAAAAACAACAAAAAGCCTCTTAAAAGTGAACTTTTTTAGTCTTGTTCTGTTACAAGTTGTTCTCACTGGATCCGCCAGTTTTCGCACTAAAGGTGATCTAAGTAACTTTTTTACCTTAACTGAACAGCTTTGGAGTCCGTAGAATGGTTTTAGTACTAATTTCGATTTTTTTTTTTAATGGTGGTGGTTTCGCACCCCCCTGGTGCCGAGAGCGGAAAAAACTCATTTGCAACTTTGGGCCGGTGGCTCGCTACCGGGGTCTTTGTTAAGAAGTGTCGCGTGATATCAGGTCTCGCGATGTAACGAATTACTTGACGGCACTGTACACGTACATGCCCCCATTCAAGCAACGGCTAGCTATAAGCAAAGGGCCATGATAGATTCTGTAAAAAAGCAGCAGAAAGCTAGAAAACCTTTGTCGGACGACCAACGAAAGAGGAAACGGGAGACTGACGAGCCAGAAGTCAGACGCGAGTAAATATCGGACCGGCTTTTTCAGAATGGCGAGTACTGAGAGAAACAGAAGCCTGCAAAACCGATGCTGACCTGGCCTTCTTGCTGTTGCACTTGTAAGTATCTTTGGAATAAACTGTGTTTAATATTTAAATTTAAAGTAATTGTGACCTCAGGATGTTTTGCTATTGCTAAAGGTTTTTATTATGATCGCTGTCTGTTAACGTTACGGGCTTACTAGTACACTAGATACTATAACTTTGATGTTAGCGTTGTCATTAGCAAACACGTTTGATTTTTGTAGTTGTTTGGCCGTTCCTCTGTCGGTTTTATTTGTGTAGGCTATTTGGCGCCGGTGTAGCTTTTTTGCAGTGCGCTACATAAGTTGACAGCTGATCAGCTGGGTTGATCGTGACCAGTGGGGAGGAACAACAGTTCGTTTTTACGACAGTGTGTTTGAAAGCATTTACTACCAGACACCAGGGGGAGCTTCGTAGAGAAAAAACACTAAGGCTTGCCTGGTGTCCCTTTAAAGTCGGTAGTTTTATCCCTAAAAACTCATCTCTGCGAATCAAAATGACACATTTTTTCATGCCTTAAAATAGCTTGAACGCACGCATATCATAAATATGCAAATGAGCTCTGCCTCGACTCAAAGCAGCTCGAATTACCCAATCCACTCGCTAAACTGGTTTAATTCAGCCATGTTTAGCCCAGAAACTGATTCAGAAGAAGAAGAGGAAGAGTGCATCATACAGGTTTGTCTACAATCTACCAGTCCTTGTATCAGAACGGTAAAGCGTTATATCTCTACAACGTCAGACACATAACGGTAATAGTTAGCCTTTGGCTAGACAACCCTATCAAACAGCTAATAATGTGTTGCTAATCTTTATGAAGTGACGCAACTGACGCTGGTAGGTCACCTGACATGATAATGACAACATACTTATTCATACTAAAAGTACCGTATTTCAGACGCAGCCAACGTCTTACGAACATGTAAAAATGCATTTTACGCTTCTTTCCAAGTGGAAAAAGATCTTATTCACCGTAAGATTTTTTTAGAAAAACAGAAAAGGCACCAGTAATTTTCTGCCAAGTTTACTTTACAGACATTTCCTTTAACTCTAAAACACAATAGTGCAAAAAACACACGTAAAAAAAAAAAAAATCAATACGAAAATTCCTTCATATTAACACAGTACATTGGTCGGTCCCCGTTTTTACAGGCTTTTCTGGGAGTGCGAGACTCAAAGTTTGGTGGCTTTTTATGAGGGGAAAATGTGGCAGAACTGGGGTGGAACCATCTGGACTTCCCAAACAGTCAAAACACTAAGAGGCCAACAGATTGTTTTCAAGACTATTAGTTAAACGCCCACTAGAGGAGACGGAGAGACACAACAGGCCGATATTAGTTAGGGAATCATAACAGAAGCCAACCTTGAGACACTTCAGTCAATAGAAACCATCTGTGGTGGCTTCAAAACAACACTGAATACTTCCTCTCACTATCTATCCCGAGAGGCATGGCACATCATTCAAAATAATCAAGATTCATTCAGCACAATCTAGTCAAATGCTTGGAGGTCATGAGCAAACAGCCTCCCACAGACATTGCTGAGGCATTTGTGTCCTGACATCACTTTAACCTCAGCCTTGACAATGGCATCCAAACCACTCGGTTCTCCAGGAACGGCTCTAACCGAGAACATGCTCCAGTGAACCGGCGGCAACATACACTTACAGCTGAAGAATGAAGGGTTTGAGAGTCAGCTCTCGGAGGAAGAACCACAGAAACCAGTGTTTCGAGGAGGACACAGGCAGACGTTCTTAAAGGAGTAGTTCACTTAAAGATTCACTTGAAAATTCTGTCTTTAATTAGCCTACTCGTTTTTCTTTCTATTGTTGAACACAAATGTCGGTAACCGGACAATTGTTGGACCCCATTGACTTCTATAGTAGGGAAAATAAATAGTATGAAAGTCAGTGGGATCCAACAACTATCAGGTTACTGACGTACTTTAGAATATCTTCCTTCATGTTCAACAGAAGAGAGAAACTCATACAGTCTCTGATGACGGGATTTTTAAGTGGACTATTCCTTTAAAACTGGCTCTTTAATGATCAGGAATGAATGCAGACAGATTCAGCTTCCTGAACCAATCACAGCTTTGGGAAAGCAATGCTATGTTCTAAGTCTTTGCTATGGCCTTTTCAAAGGTTGTCTGACGAGCAAAAAAGTCAAAACCACACATTCCTATTGAGTCCAGCAATGCAGGCAGGGAATTGCCTCACGTCTAGGGCTTTACACCACTTCAACTCACACTACTGTCTGCTGAGACATGCAATACATCCAGTACACATTGCGCCGTTTACTTCAGCAAAGTCTGGAGGTGTTCCATCACACAGTCAATGCACTATGAAGTGAACATCGCAGTGTATTTCCACCAAATGAGATTCTGACCCAAAGGGGAGTGTACATGTTCAGTTCAAATGGCCCTGCGAATAGGGAATAAGGGAACATCGATACATCACTCACAGGAAGTGGAGAAAGAAAATTACCCAGCAGTCATTGCAAGAAGACTGACTAATGAGTAATCATAAAAATTATTTAAGGCTCCAGCGTTTTTAATACATTTAAGTTATACATAAATACATAATAATACATAAATAAGTCAGAAGTGTTGTGTATGCAGGGTGTAAACTCTATGAGATGCGACAATAGTGTGGTGTGGATGATTATCACAGCGCAACTATCACGATTTTAGTTGAAATACAGAGGCCGATCTCATGAAAGTTCGTATCTATAGCACGAATGTCATTTCTCGTGCCATTTATACGCCAAAAATAGTTTTTGCGTGTATATGGTACCCGTTTTTCGCATGCATATGATATGTACTTAATGGAGTATAATACGCACAAACTCCGCACTCCCCTCCCCCCTAAACCTACCCAAGGGGTTTTCAGTGCGTAGCATTTTTGGCGTAAAATGCCACGAGAAATGACATTCGTGGTATACGCACTTTTATGAGACTGTGTTGAAATACACATCCAATGGGCCGTTTACAGGTAAACACGGATAACTTTTTATGCATTTTGAAAACGATACCGTTATCGTCTCTGTGTAAACTACAAAAACGCAAATTTGTGACAACGGTGACATCGTGCATATAGGCATGTAGTGTTTCTTTAAAGTGACATCGCCATCTACTGGCCTGGCAACACAGCGTTTTTAGTCGTTTTCACAGATCCTTGTGGACAGAAATCATTTGAACAAAAAATTTACATAAAAAAAACGCAAAGGAAAAACTTTTCTGCACAAATGAGACGCCTAAAAGGTCAAAAACAAATGTAAAAGTGTGTAGTTATACTACAAGTGGAAGTCAATGTGTTTGCCTTGACTTTCATTTTGGCACTGGTAAATGATCTGGAATTAATCTAAACCACAACTTCAACATAATTAATCAATTGGAAGTCACCATGAAATCAGAATCAACCATTTTAATTTTTTATAGATCATTCCAGTGTAATAAATGATTTAACCGTGCCAAATCATTATTATTTTTTTAATGAGTCCTAATCTTTAATCAAGATAACTTCCCCTCCCTCTTGCAGAATTATCTCTTCTCTACACACTACATTTATTCTTGTTTGAGAAGCCGTCACAATAGAAAAGAAAAGACTGTCACAACTTCCATTTCAATGCTGACTTTTAAGAAAGTTTTAAATAAAATGCATACTGCACAGCACTCTGTACTGCTATATGAACAGCATGCAAAGATAGAAAGATAGACACTTTTCAAGTAATCTCACAATTTCGTTTAAAACTGCAGTTCAATCAAGGAAGTTTTGGAGCACTAGGGTCTGGGCAAGCACACTGCACTTATTCATACATTAGGCTATGAGTAGCATATACTATTCAAAACATAAACAAGTAATCAAGATGTATTAAGAAGACTGGTATAGATTTATGAAGCACAATACAGACTTCTTTAGTTCACATCATCCATCGCATGTCAAATATCGTAAAGGAAGTTTCATGTGAAACGGGTTAATTGAGAAACACGTCACCTATTTCATCCACTCATCATTAAATCACAACAACAACAACAACAACAACAACAACAACAACCATACGCTTCCGGCTGCAAATAAACACATGATTAACCGTCTCTCAAAACCAAATAATGAACACTGAGGGGGGAAAGGCCCGTTTCATAGCAGCATATCGAAATGAAAATGTAGACTATATACTTCCTAACGCAGATGACATGATGGTAAAATATATCCAACTTCCAATAAGCCTCGCGAGACTGTTTGTTCATCCATAAACGAAGATTAAAACCTAATGCCTCCGTGTTTGTAGGAAGAAAAATGACACATATTAAAAAAACAAAACAAAAGCTATGCTCTATGTTACATAACGTTAGTTTAATAAGTTCAATAACTTACTGCGTCCGCCCGTGTGTTTGTTGCTCTGCTGGCGTTTCGCGCGCACACTCCACACACACTCACTCTCAGCAGCACTGACTGAACTCACTGGGCCGTGTCTCAACCATAGGTCTCAACACATGTCTATGCTGTACACACTACAGTGTGTGCTGACTACCTAGAGCCTTCTGTGGCAGCACAGCCTCACACACCGACAGCAGCCTAACTATACACACACACACACACACACACACACACTGCTGAACTCTCAAACACAGGAACTTTCTTCCAAACATGACAAGCTGATGTGATGGGATTTGATAAGGCTTGAACTGAAGACTTTTTTACAGGCTATTATAATAATAAAATAAAATAGGATAACATTTAAACTAAACATGAATCTAAAATTAAAACAGAAAATATAAAAATAAAATAAAAATTTAATTGAAATATAGTAGGCTATACAAAAATAGTTATCACATAGGCTACAGTATATAAGAGTTCAGTTGCAAAAGCCTCTAAGTGCCATTTGAAATTTTCTTCTAGAATGATAATTTTTTATCAAGCTTGTATATTTAAGTTCAGTAATTTCACTTAAATGGCAATGATAATTACCTATTGTTATTTAAGTGAAATTACTGAACTTACAAGTTTGATAAAAAATCATCATTAAAGAAGAAAATTTCAAATGGCATTTAGAGGCTTTTGCATCTGAACTCTTCATATATATATATATATATATATATTGTATTGATTTGTATTGATTACTGTACTTACATGCAGTGCTGTTTAAGGCCTAATCTAATTACTGTCATTTTATTACATTTCCCATGAAAAAGCAAACTATGGGATTCCAACTAATATTTCTGTAATTCAGTTACAATTATTTCTGATCTAATTGCATTAAATGATGTATAAAAACTCAAAACAATAGTGGATTTAACTGTTTTAACAGCACAAATGTAACCTAAAACCTAAACCTATTTAAGAATAATATATGCAATTGTATATTGTTTATTTAAAATAATCAAAAGTGTAGTTTCCAGCTGATTCTTCTATTGTTCAACTTGGTTGAGGTTGATATGGGATTTAGAAAGTTTAATTAAGTAATGTAGTTTTTAGAGAGAGTAATAATTATAGGCCCTATTACACTGTTGAAGTAGCTAGTATTGTTACTTTTTTAGAGTATAGTCCCATTACATGGTTTTTGTTTGTAGGAATGGAATGCAGTGGGATTACTTTTCATTCATGAACTCATTGCTGTATTTTGAAATTATTATGATCATCATAAAAAGTGAAATGATATTTTTCTTATGAGTCATGCTGAGTGTTTTTCCCTCCACATAGTGTTGTTCAGCGGTTTTCTGCATCATAATTACAGACTCAAATTTCAGAATAGGAGGAAATACCAAGGTGAGGAGCAAAAGTTATTATTAACATCATAACTGTCTTGCTGCGAGCTAAGCCGCTGTGTTTCCTGCCATTTCCTTCCAGCGCTGTGGATTCTGGAGATGAGTTTCATGATGGTGCAGCAAAAGCTCAGTCTCAAAGCTGCTGGAAATGCAACATTAAACAGTTCCAATCAGGTATTTATTCAGAATTTAATATACTTGTATATCATATGGGTTACGTAAGCAATAAGGTACTCAAGGCTGTGCTGTATCGTGAATAAGTGACGGCTGAAGGGCGTTTTTAGGATCGTCACTTATTCACGATACAACACTTGCCTTGAGTACATTATTGCTTTTATAAAACGGTTACCACACAATAAAAATATTAAAGTACAACCATATGCGTGAAAGCTCAAATTACAACAACATGGGAACTGCAGAGTTGCACAGTCAGTGATACACAGAGCCGTTGGGTGAAGCGGTCATTGCTGTGTTTTATCGTGAATAGCTATTGACCAATCAGATTTAACTAACCGTTTTCTTAACTCAAATAAGCTTTTAACCCTTTAAGTGTCATCCACCGCCACACTCCGAACTTAAAGGGATACTCCCCCAGATAAGCAAACTGACATTGAATCAACGTGGAAATATGACATCGAAACAACGTTGATCTGACATTGTTTTGCTCATCGAATTAACGTTGAACCAACGTCAGACGCGTCATTCTTTCAAAACTAACGGAAAATCAACTTGAAATCAACGCGTTGTTTCAACGTTATGAAAGCAAACCAATTTTCGATTTTCATTTAGCTTTGAAGAATGCCGCGTCTGACGTTGGTTCAACGTTAATTCAATGAGCAAAATCAATGTTGTTTCAATGTCATGAGAGACGTCGTTTCCACGTTGATTCAATGTCAGTTTGCTGTCTGGGCCACCGCTTTTTCATATTCAACTATATTATTTCAAACCGTTCTCATCCAAGGGCGTCATATGGTGACACTTTTGAAATTTCGTCTAAATCCAACGCACATGGCACCCTTTCGCATCAATATACACGCTTCGGTTATGGGTAGGTTTAGGTCTGGGGTAGGGTTAGGGTTACACCACTAGGAGGCGCCTTCTGGCCCATATCTGCGTCTCATACTGACGCTAAAGTATGTTGGATGTAGACGAAATGTCAAAAGCGTCATTATGACGCCTTGGGATGAGAACAAGCTGGTTATTCCCTTAACTAAGACGAGTTGTACCTCTCTCGTCTCAGTGCGTGCGCTCAATCGCTCTGGCGTGCAAGACACTTTGATAGCATTTAACTAGCCCAGTTCATTCAATAGGATCCAAGCAGAGAAGACATTCAAACACCTCCACGTTTTCCCTACTTAAATACAGTTACACGAGTAGAGTAACTCGACCAAGAATGGTGACCAAGAATGATTGGGAGCACTTCGACTCAGCACAGTAATATCATCACTCATGAAAGGTCCTCTCCCCCTCCCTCCAGGTATGATATTACTGCGCCGAGTCAGCACTTGCTGTGGTATTTCGCCATACAATATAGTTATCCACTTTACACACTTAGAAAAGCGCAACGTTTTATTTTGTGTCACCGTCCTAGGTCGAGTTACACTACTCGTGTAACTGTATTTAAATAGGGACAATGTGAAGGTGTTTGGTCGCTTCTCTGCTTGGCCCATATTGAATGAACTGGGCTAGTTAAGTGCGATCAAAGTGTCTCGCGCGATTGAGCGCACACACTGAGACGACAGAGGTATGCATCAACTCGTCTTAGTTGAGGGAATAATAGTTTAATATGAAAATGGTGGAGTATATAAATGGTTGGAATTCATTTTTGTAGAAGTGAAATACATTAAGAAAGTGAAACAGAAAAAAAAGTTATAGAAGTTTGATTTTATGAAAATGTACAATGTAAAAAAATTTAATTATTCATATTTTCAAAACCTGGGCGACTCTAAAACTTAACGCCAAAAATCTGAATTTGACTTGACTTGACTTGACAGACTTTATTGTCTTTCATAATACAACACAGAACGAAATTTCGTTTGCATTGGCCACAGTTTTTTGCAGTTTCAATGCAGTATAAGCAATGTTCATCCCCAAAATATTTGGTACAAAAAAAATAGATTATAATAAATAAATATATACCTAGCAAAGTGGAATAAATAATTTACTATCTAAATATCTAGCTCAATACCTGACAGCAGTCAAAGTGTAAGACCAACAGGACTAAGTACTTATTTATCAGTGTTCAACAGTCTGATGGCTTGGGGGACAAAGCTGTTATAAAACCTAGAGGTCCGACACCGCATACTGCAGAACGTCCCTCCGGAGGCCAGTAAACTAAACAGACCGTACAGGGGATGAGAGGGGTCCCTGCAGATTTTCCTGGCCCGAGCTACACAGCGGATCTCTGCAATGTCCTAAATGGAGGGGAGAGAGACTCTCTGCTGTTCTCACCACCCTTCCAACATCCTTCCAGTCAGCGGCACTGCAGCCTCCACACCACACTGAGATTCAGCTGGTCAAGATGCTCTCTATGGTGCTTCTATAAAAAGTGCTGAGGACAGGCGGGGGCAGATGAGCTCCTCTCATCCTCCGTAGGAAGTACATTCGCTGCTGTGCCCTCTTCACCAATGATGCAGTGTTTACAGACCAGGTGAGATCGTGAGATCAACTTGGCTCGTCAGACCATCTATCCGTTATGCTAATTCCCGCATACATCAGAGGGAAACCTATAGTGAGGCAGGTGAGAGTATGGCCAGAGGGGGCAATGGAGGTACTCCAGGACTGCTTTGACTGCTCTGACTGGGACATGTTTAGGACTGCTGCCACTTATTGCGGTCATACGAACATTGATGAGTATGCCATGTCGGTGTCAGCTTACATTAGCAAATGTACGGAGGATGTTAGTGTCATGAAGACCATCATTCCCCGAGCTAATCAGAAACCCTGGGTTACTGCAGAAGTACGTAAGATGCTAAAAGCACGGAACGCTGCCTTCAAGTCTGGCGATGCAGAGGGTGTGAGAACAGTAAGAGCCAATCTGAACCGTGCCATCAGGCTGGCAAAGCGTTCCCACAGAAAGACAATCCAGGATTTGTTCCATGACTCAACCAACACCAGCAACATGTGGAAAGGCATAAGAGCTATCACTAACCACAAGGTCACACCTTCTTTAGGGGGGGAGGCTGACATTGACCTTCTCAATGAACTAAATATTTTCTTTGCGAGGTTTGAGGCACTAAACAGCAATCGCGCAGAAAAAGCAGTTCCTCTTCAGCAGGAAAAAGCACTCTGCCGGGACATAGCCGATGTACGAAAGTCTCTGAGGAGGGTAAACACCCGGAAAGCCCCAGGCCCTGATAACATCCTGGGGCGAGTGCTCAAGGATTGTGCAGACCAGCTAGCTTGTGTTCTGACAACCCGGTCTCATCCCAAGACGTCATATAACTGACGTTTTGGGACGTCTTTTGACCATACGTCAATATTCGCCTTTTTAGGGCCCCCTTAAACGTCGGTAGATGAGGTTATGGGATCCTAACTCTACCCCAGACCTAAACCTAACCCTAAACCTAACCCGTCACCTAACTGACGTTAAAGGTAAAGCGTCAGTTGTATGACGGCCCGGGATCGCCATCTACCGACGTTTAAGGGGGCCCTAAAAAGGCGGATGGTCAAAATACGTCCCAAAACGTCAGTTATATGACTTTTTGGGATGAGACTGTGTTAGTTCTGACGGACATTTTTAACATCTCGCTAGACCAAGCCATTGTGCCAACGTGCTTAAAGTCTGCCATCATCATCCCAGCGTCAAAAAAATCTCGGATCACCTCACTAAACGATTACCGGCCCATCGCACTGACTTCCATTCTAATGAAGTGCTTTGAAAGGCTGGTTAAAGACTACATCATCTCCAGACTCCCTTCCATGTTTGATCCCTTCCAGTTTGCCTACCGGCCAAATCGCTGCACTGCGGATGCCATCTCCTCCGCCCTGCACCGGAGTCTTGGAGGAGAAGAACACGCATGCAGTTATCCCAACCTGCAAGAATTCATTTCCGGGAGGTATATTTCGTAACAGGATTGTGGGGGTGGGCGGGAGGGCTAACTTTCGCGTTCGCGAGGCACACTCGCAAAGTCTCTCCCCCTGTACAGTGCACGCGCAGCGCGCTATGTATGTGCGCGCAGTATGTCTCGCTCTAGATTCCGGGAGATTTGAACTAATTTGCGGGCATCAGGGAGACGCTATCAATATGCGGGAGACTCCCGGAACTTCCGAGACTTGGGATGTCTGCGCATGTTAGGCTGTTGTTCCTGGACTTCAGTTCAGCTTTTAATTCCATCATTCCTCAACATCTGGTAGACAAACTGGGACCTATGGGTTTCAACACACCCTTGCGGAATTGGCTGCTTGATTTCCTCACTGACAGACCTCAATCAGTGAGGGTTGGACAGAACACCTCCAGTGTCATTACTCTCAGTACGGGCTCCCCTCAGATCGGCTGCGTCCTGAGTCCTCTGCTGTTCACCCTGATGACACATGACTGCGTCCCTAGGCATGCCACAAATCACATCGTGAAATAACAGTGGTAAGCCTAAGTAAAGATGACAACGATCTGGCCTACAGAGAGGAGGTGGAGCAGTTGATGGGCTGGTGCAGTGATAACAGTCTGATCCTGAACGTCGACAAGACCAAAGAACTCATTGTCGACTTCAGGAAGAACCAGCCCAGCCATGCGCCACTACTCATCAACAACATACACGTGGAGGTGGTTGGTACCATAAAGTTTCTGGGTGTGTTCATTACTCACGATCTCACCTGGTCTGTAAACACTGCATCATTGGTGAAGAGGGCACAGCAGCGAATGTACTTCCTACGGAGGATGAGAGGAGCTCATCTGCCCCCGCCTGTCCTCACCACTTTTTATAGAAGCACCATAGAGAGCATCTTGACCAGCTGAATCTCAGTGTGGTGTGGAGGCTGCAGTGCCGCTGACTGGAAGGATGTTGGAAGGGTGGTGAGAACAGCAGAGAGTCTCTCTCCCCTCCATTCAGGACATTGCAGAGATCCGCTGTGTAGCTCGGGCCAGGAAAATCTGCAGGGACCCCTCTCATCAACTGTTCGGTCTGTTTAGTTTACTGGCCTCCGGAGGGACGTTCTGCAGTATGCGGTGTCGGACCTCCAGGTTTTATAACAGCTTTGTCCCCCAAGCCATCAGACTGTTGAACACTGATAAATAAGTACTTAGTCCTGTTGGTCTTACACTTTGACTGCTGTCAGGTATTGAGCTAGATATTTAGACAGTAAATTATTTATTCCACTTTGCTAGGTATATATTTATTTATTATAATCTATTTTTTTTGTACCAAATATTTTGGGGATGAACATTGCTTATACTGCATTGAAACTGCAAAAAACTATGGCCTATGCAAACGAAATTTCGTTCTGTATCCACAAGTTTCCGAGGGGCGCTCCTGTAAAAAATAAAGTGGGTGAAACTTTCGGTGAGGCGGCGGAAGTAGCATTCCAATGGTATTTTGTGTGTTAGTTAGCGAAGAGGCTAGCTGTTTTTCGGAGAATTATTTTACTATTTAAAGACGCAAATCTTTATGAGAGATGTCGTTACGGAGCTCAGGGACAACATGTGCTGTTCGCGGTTGTATGTATAACCGGACTAAACTAGTTCAGTGGCTTAAACGTGATTGTTTTGAACATAAGCTGAAAACGAAATCAGAGTGATCCTGCTAACGACTGTAGTTTCCATCACCTCCCAAAAGACGACGAATCTTCCTGTGTACATTTGTTTAAATTCTTAATATTCTATAAACTCTATCAGCATGTGATTGGCTGTTCGCTACTGATGTTACAGCTAAACTCAGGATCAAAGCCTGTGTTGACAGAATACCAAATGTGCCAGTTAATGTATTCAAGCAGCACATTCATTTATAATTTTGAATAAACTCCAAAGCACAATGACTAAGTGTGTATTTTTTATTTTAATTGTTTGTCAGCTCGCACAACTGTCTGTCACCATGCCTTGATGAGTATTGATTATTAATATTGTTATTATAATACTCCCAGTCAACTACTGCGGAGGGTAAAGGTACTGTTATTTCACCCTTTTGAATTTCGTTGAGGTTGTGTTCCCACATCGTTAGCTAGTTTGGATCGCTATAACTTGAATGACTGTCAACTGTTGAATGAACGAGTGTCAAGCATGTCAAATCGCGCTTTGTTTACTTCCAACCGGAAGTCGCGCCCACTTTTGACGCAAGGCCTCATGGGGCGTAGGAAACTTGTGGATACACTTGTTGTATTATGAAAGACAATAAAGTCTGTCAAGTCAAGTCAAGTCATTAATGATGGACTATATGAGTGCACTGTAAAGTCTCATGTAAAGGAAGGTTTATTTAGCGTTTAGTAAGCACTGGCATATAACTGAACAGATATGAATGTTGCTTCAAGTTGTGTTGATGTCAAAGTTACTATTTTGCTTGGTGGATGATTACAGGAGTCTTTTAGTCTGTACTCACTTAAAAAATAACCCAACGAATAACCCAATAACAAAGTTATAATATTCACACTAGGAAAAACCTCCCCCACTTTCTTCATAAGAGCTGATGAGGTTTGAGTCACACACACACTGCTCAATATTGCATTACACGACTGCACTGTCTCGGTATGTATTTATTGTTGAGTCCAAACAAAAGCCTTTGTTATTATAACCCTTTAACTTTTTATATGCCATTCATAAGCTCAACAGCTCGATGTTTTCTCACCCAGCTTGTCTGATTATGTTGTTTTTCCCTCCGCTTTATGATGCCATTCAAGCATTTCCATAAGGAAACACCCTGCGTGATGATGAAAGACGTGATGAAATATGCAGAAATGTGTTCTCTGAAATAGACCACTTTAAACAAAAGAGCTGGAACATGACCCTTGTCCAGAGACAGAGCCACAGGAGCTGGAGAGACTAACATCTGTGATATTAACACTTCATTTCAATGCTCCACTTTAGACATTATCCCACAGTAACTTTGCAGTCAGTCGAGTATTAGCAGATCTGCTTAATATCTGACACGTCATGCTCCACAATAGATCTACAAGTGACTTCGCAACTACGTCAGCTCACTAATCCGAACCCTGCTAATACACTAATGAGAGTTAGTTGACATGTAGATGCAAAGTTACTTGTAGTGTCACCAGCCCACAAAGCCATTACATATTTAAAACAGTAATATCATACTAAACCTAAAATAATCTTGGTATTTGGTGACTTAATCTTCCATATTTGGTGGGGAGTTTCAAAATAAATTACGGCTGCTCTGTGAATTATTTTGAAAATCACTCACTAAATATGGAAACTACATTTGTTCTTCTCAATTTGCAACATGAATATTTTCAAACTCCTAAGGCATTCAGACCTTTATTTTGAAATAGTGATGAACATGAAAAACCATGAAAGTAGGGTATCAGTTTGTTTTCATGCCAAGAGTTCAAAATACAGCATCCATTCAATTATTTTAGAAAAAAAAATATTCTGAAAATGTGTTAAAAATAAAGAAAGAAATTACAGATTCACCATTTGTGATGATGTGTTATTTTTATGTGATTATTGAGGTTGAATTCATATCAAAATATGACAAATGTCCCTTACTACTTCTGAATAGGATGTCTACTTCATTGGAAATTGTGGAAATAATGGTTCAGACCACTCAAAACACATATGGAAGTATGGGCAGTATGGGAGTCTGGTTGTGCCCTAGTGGAAGCGTTCAGTACTGCGCCCAAACACACTCTCACTGAAAGATGATTTTTTGAGATGTCAACCTAAAATTTGAAACACAACTTGTTCACCAATGATGCAGTGATCCAGGTGAGATCGTGAGTAATGAACACACCCAGAAACTTTATGGTACCAACCACCTCCACGTGTATGTTGTTGATGAGTAGTGGCGCATGGCTGGGCTGGTTCTTCCTGAAGTCGACAATGAGTTCTTTGGTCTTGTCGACGTTCAGGATCAGACTGTTATCACTGCACCAGCCCATCAACTGCTCCACCTCCTCTCTGTAGGCCAGATCGTTGTCATCTTTAAATAGGCTTACCACTGTTGTGTCATCTGCAAATTTCACGATGTGATTGATTTGTGGCATGGAACAAACTGACAGTTTTTGGAAGTGAAAAAGAACAAGTCATTGTGTAATTACAGTGAAAAAATGTAAATTCATATTCCCAGAATGCCCAGTGTGACACTTCAGATTAGAAGTATTTTTGTTGAAATAACTGTTTCTTCCTAATCAGTTTTGTACATTAGAGGTTTACTTTACAGTTAATGTTGTTAAATTAATGTTTAATAAAATTAATTTCATGTGTTACCCTGATGGTGTTTAGTGTTTGTGTGAATGACACTGTGCAGCTTCTCTACATATTGATTGGTAAATGAACAAATCAGTTAATAAAATGTGTTTATTACTGTAAATGTAACTTAAATCTGTAAAACCTAAAGTGTTTTTTTTACGGTAAATTTCTGGCATCCACAGTTGCCAGCTTTTTACTGTAAATTTAACGTTTTTTTTTTTTTGCCCAGTGTATGGGTTATAACTAAAAATCAAATTAAACATTGTTAAAAAGAAATTATAATTTTTAAAAATGTAACGATTTAAACGTTTTTTTTTTGTGTGCCTTTTTTCAATATTACAAAAATTTGGGACGTACCGCATACAGATTTGTTATTGATTTGTGTAATTTTATAATGTGTTATTATCACACATCTAATGTGTGTTATTTTCAAGCTTCAAACATTAAAAATGAATTAACAAACAATCCAGAAAGAGTAAAAGGGTTGTATGCAGATTTATTTAGTCTAAATTAAGCTGACAAGGACCGAAAAGCTCATTTGGGACAAAATGTTGGTTTGTACTTATATTTTGCATAGCATTCTTTAGTCTGATCGTTTTCTTTCAATAATTTTGGTCACCGTTAAAAAGAAGGACAGTGTTGTTGACGAATGTTGTCAAAACTATAATTCATCGACAACAATATGAATATTTAATTATTGGCAGAGACCTGTGGCTTAACTTGTACCCTGTTTGTGGAAAGTGCAAATAATTGAACATCACTAAAAGTTGGAGGTTTTAGCCTGTTAAAAATTGTGGTTTGTGAAGATGACGTAATATCTAATAAAACTATTTAAAAAAAGAGTTCAATCAGAGCACAGTGATATAAACAGCTTTGGGAAACACTTGTAAAAATCACATTGAAGATGATGAAGAAATGTATTTTCCTATAGCGCAACATAAACTGTCCTTTTCAAAATATGGGTTTAAAGTGCAAATGATCAACAGAAAGCTTTTTTGGCTTGACCTGCACACCTTTCAATGAGTGTGTGTGTGTGTGCACATGACATACAGTACATGACCGTTTAGTGACGGTTTTTATAGTGTGCTTAAGCACATTGAACTGTGAAGTTAACGCCTGCAAATGAAGTTATATACAGTACATACTGTGAGAAATAAATCTGTACAGCAACAGAAAGAGCAGCTCATTAGCCGGGTTTTGTAATTAAAAAACTGTTAATTAACAGTTTTCACTGAAGACATTGAAATTTTCTGTTAATTAACAGTGTGTTAGACAGTAAAAAGACAGGACATTTTCTGTTTTAGTTGTATACATACAATAAAAATGACACTGTTATATAATAATGGTATAAAAACTCAAAACCAAGGATGCAAAGAATGGACTTGTGTTCTTGGGAAGAAAGCTCTTGCTAGTTGTTCTTGGAAGAACGAACTCACGAGATGACGAGCACACAGAGCGCTGCTGACAGTTTGAGACGATGTGTTCTTGCTGGTATTGCACAATAATACCCCCGCACAGACACCGTCTGCAGTGCCCAAACATAACGAGAATTATTGACGATATAACAGCCGGGCTGCAATGATCTCTTGACTGTGGGGTAACACATTTGGCCGGTTGGCTCGCTAGCTAACTTAACACCCGCTTATGGAGATGCTCACTTCCGAAAACGTTTGAGTACATTTTCGATTTGCCATAAATGTTCGTAAAAATGGCAATATTCAAATATTTGAAATCTACACAGTTGATTCTCGCATCAAATGTTTTCAGAAGTTGATTTAGTGATGAAATAGAAGTACGAAATTGCAGAAAAAAACGAATTATGCCTGGTTCAGATAACACTTTTTTTTTGTCTGTTACGATAGTCACTGTGTCAGATTACGCGATTTTGACTCCTTGTCGTGTCTTGGACAAGACACATGTCAGACTACACGTTGCTTCCTGACCAGTCTTTAACGGTGTGATGTCATCGAGAAGGCGAAACTAGTAGCGAGTGACTTCTGGAAATGTACGTAAACAAACAATGAAAGACGCGGTGAGTGTTGTATCAGAAAAAAGTAAAAAAAAAAGTCCTGACAATGGACACGTTCCTGGATTGCTCGAAGAGGACAGTATGGGCTGTCAATCCTCCAAAGAGAACTTGAGCTAAAATATTGTTTTCTACATTTTTACTTTTAGTTTTAACGTTAGCACCATCGTCTCTCTTTCGTTTCGCCATTTTTGAAAGTTGTGTACGGAAAAGCTTCTGTGCTCCTATTGGTCAACCTCATACATGTGACGGAACCGTCGTGGACGACCGATTTAGCATGTCAAATTAAACATGCTAGTCTATTTGTCGTGATGTCGTGAAGAATCGCAGACGCGACGTAGGTTGTCGCCCACTATGACACACTATACGAGATGATACGATTGAATCTTGCGTCCCGACGCCCGTTGTCGTTTACGAATCCCCACGACACCCTACGTCAAACGGATCGTGCCAAAATCTGGCTAAAATCGTGTAATCTGAACCAGGCATAACTGTACTGACCTGCCTCTGCTTCCTCGAATGGCGAATTGAATGCTGGGATTTTTCTGCCATCAAGTTCACGCAAGTTACCAACCGATGCATCCTCGGTAAAATGGGCGTGTCAAGAACACACCCGGGATTTTTAACCGTTCAAACTTGTGTATTGGGACAGTACTTGGGCCACAAAATGTGACGTTTCACAAGAACACAGATTGAGAAAGGCCTAGTATGTGTGTACTTTGTGCTGATGTGTCATGTATAGGTCAAGGGTGAAGATCTGACACACACAGCTTGAATGACATCAGGTGACTAAACTCATGAAACTGCTCACTTTTACAGCCGCCATTCCAGTTGTTTGTTGATATTTGTGTGAACAGCTCATATCTGTAGTGTCAACAAGTATATTATGCTGTGAATGAACTTCTATAGGAAAAAAAATATTTATTTGAAGCTGTGAAATATGTGCTTGACCATGTAATACACAATATAGCCGCGTTTCCACCGCAATTACCAAGAACTATTTGTCCCAGGAACTTTTTTCATAGGAACTTTTTTTTCCCCCAGACCGCTTGCTTATTGCGTTTACACCGCGGACTAAAGTACCGGTGCGGGGCGGGAAGATTATAGTGACGTTGAACTGCGTGTGACTGCTCCTCCCAGTCTGCGCGTTTGCTTTGAGTTTGAGTGCGTTTTGAATTTTGTATCGAGGAGATTTAAGCTGTGCGGCTTTTGTGTGGGATTGGTTTACTAACGAGGTAATTAACAAAACGGCAGAAAAGAGACGAGCACCCAAACGTATTCAGAAAGCTCGTAATGCTAGATATAAAAGTAGACGTTTGTTATCAGCGGAGATGGATGGGACGAACGCGCACCATCGGGCAGAAAGACAAGTGGTAAGAACAAGTCAGCATGTTCAGCGCACAAGTCCCACCCCGAAAGTTCCCGAACTCTGAAAAAGTACTACCTCGCCAGCAGGGACTTTCTGGGGTGGAAATGTTTTACCCAGAACTTCATTTAGACCCTGCTTCCTGTGGTGTAAACACACCAATTACCACCCCAAAGTTCCTAGTTCCTGGGGAAAGTTCCTGCGGTGGAAACGCGGCTTATGTAATAGGGTTAGGGTTAAACTGTCTCATTCAGACAAAAGCCCCGTTCACACCGCCAGCGACACGCAGTGACAAAGCGACAAGATCCCATTCATTTCAATGGAATGCTGGCGACATCCAGCGACACGAGTGACAGTGACCGAGGGCGACAGAATGTGGGCGTGACAAGTGACAAAAGTTGAGAATTTTCAACTTTATGCAAATGAGAAGCGAATTTTCGCGAGCGACAACCAATAGGAAAGAAGACTTTCAGTGGAGCTTACGTCACCGTCTCAAGTGCAGGGCAGGCAAGACAGAAAGAAAGAGTTTGAGGACGATTTCACTGTTTTATATGAGTTGACCAACCCGATCTCACGGGAATTCGTACGAATTTTACGAGGTGGCTAATTCGTAACAATTTGTACGACCTCACTCGTACGAATTAGTACGATTTAGCTAAATCGTACATATTTTACGAATTAGCCAATTCGTATGAATTCGTAC